AGAACCGATCTGCCTTTCGTGACAAGCATTGAAGTTGTCGCATGTCGGTAAATATTCGAGGTAAAAGCCTCAGTATTGCCTCATTATATCTTCCTCCAAGAACTGCAATCTGTCGACAAGGTCTCTCAGATATCTGCTCAGCTTTATCTGAACCTCGTTTGATATTAGGAGATTTTAACTCCCACGGTACAGGCTGGGGAGAACTGTACGATGACAACCGCTCAACCCTGATATACGACCTTTGCGATAACTTCAATATGACAATTCTAAACACTGGGGAAGTAACACGAGTGGCCAAACCTCCAGCAAGAGAAAGTAGATTAGACCTCTCCCTCAGTTTGAGTTCACTATCGTTGGATTGCTCGTGGAAAGTAATCCAAGATCCCTACGGTAGTGACCACTTGGCAATTAAAATCACTCGGTTGATATCGCGGACGACCTCACGAAAAACATCGACTGGCAAAAATTTGCGGTTCTCACTGGTACTGATTCGGTTGAGAGTACTCAGACAGTTGGATATTCAGCTTCGCGCGGAAAGTTTGCCCGGATTCGGTGTCGGTTCAAACCAACGTTCGTGATCGTCCGTCGGGTAGTAACGAAATAGATTTCCCGTTTTCAATGGGACAATAGAATACACTGCTGCTACTCGTGCAAGTTATCACACGAGTTCTCACAGCTGTTTTTGTTTTGTGTTTTTTTTTTTCATGTCAAATTTAGCGAGAAACAGAGGTCCAGTACTGTCAAAAACTACGCAATGAAGAGGTATTTTGACAGTTTTACAACTTTTATTAAAAAAAAAATCACTTTTAAAATTACAAGCCGAAAGTGAATGCCGCCTTTGCCACTACCACTGCTCATTATGGGTCCGGCATTTTTGCAACATGCCCTGCCCACCGCATCCTTCCGGCTTTGGCACCTTCTGGATGCTGGGTTCGCCGTAGAGTGCAGCGAGTTCGTGGTTCGTTCTTCGCCGCCACTCACCGTTCTCCTGCACATCGCCGAAGATCGTCCTTAGCACACGTCGCTCGAAAACTCCGAGTGCTTGCAGATCCTCCTCGAGCATAGTCCATGTCTCGTGTCCATAGAGGACCACCGGTCTTATTAGCGTTCTGTACATGGTACATTTGGTGCGGGGGTGAATTTTCTTTTTTGACTGTAGTTTCTTCTGGAGCCCGTAGTAGGCACGACTTCCACTGATGATGCGCCTTCGTATTTCACGACTCACATTGTTGTCAGCCGTCAGTAAGGATCCAAGATAAACGAATTCCTCCACTACCTCGAAAGTATCCCTGTCTATCGTGACATTACTTCCTAGCCTAATACTGTCATTAGTTTAAATGATCTTTATTTCAGTTCAACTTGGATGATTACCATATACATCTGTCTAAGTGATTTAATTGCTTTCTTAATCTTTAGGTATGGGCAAAATTCAAAATTTGTTTTACAGAATTAGTCCTAGACTTAGTACACGGTCGACCACCTTGGTGGGATTGGTTCGTTTTGTTTTTAGAATTTGAAGAGAAACTACTTAATACTTCAGAAAGATTGCATTTTTGGATAAATTTGGTTGTCATATCCTCAATTTTGGAATCTACTTTGGGAATTTCTGCCTCTTGATGGAGGTCTGCTATTCTTGTGTCGAATGGACGATCTAGGATCATCCTCAACACTCTATTCTGTGCAACCTGGATTTTGTTCCTGTGGGTCTGAGCGCACGATTCCCACACCGGGGCGGCATAGAAGATCGCGGGGGCTATGATCTGTTTGTAGACAGCCAGTTTGTTTTGCCTTGAGAGGCAGGATCTGCGGCAAATGAGCGGATACAAACACCTAACCAAGGCGGAACACTTACCTAGGGTTTTCTTTATGTGCGAGCGGAACAGGAGCTTCTCATCGAACAACATCCCGAGATAAGTAACATCAGCGGACCACTCGATCCTTGTACCACCCATTATTACGGTACAGGAGGGAGACGGTTTAAGTTTTGGCGATTGTCTGTGAAGGAACATGATCGCTTGGGTTTTCGAGGCGTTGATTTTGATTTTCCACGTGGTGGCATAATCAGTAAAGGTGTCAAGGCATCGTTGGAGCTTATTCGTAATTTCACGAGGCATCCTACCCTTGACGGCTATCGCGGTGTCATCTGCGAACAGGAAGAACACGCAACCGTCTCCTAGAGGAGGGACTAATACTGTCATGTTCGGTTCCGCCTACTAGCATGTACTTTGTTTTTGACGCACTCACCGCCAGTCCGACCTTTGCTGCTTCATGTTTCAGGCGGGTGTATAGTTCTGCCACCGTTCCAAATGTTCTTGCGATAATGTCCATGTCGTCCGCAAAGCACACAAATTGACCGGATTTCGTGAAAATCCCCGGCTGTTGAGCCCGGCTCGTCGCATTACACCTTCTAGAGCGATGTTGAAGAGTAGGCATGAGAGTCCGTCACCTTGTCGCAGTCCCCGGCGATAGTTCATGGATAGTTCACCCGAAACCCTTACGCAGTTTTGCACACCGTCCATCGTTGCTTTGATCAGTCTGATCAGCTTCCCAGGAAAGTCGTTCTATCCATGATTTTCCATAGCTCTGTGCGGTCGACACCGTCGTATGCCGCCTTAAAGTCGATGAACAAATGATGCGTTGGGACCTGGTATTCACGGCATTTCTGGAGGATATGCCGTACGGTGAAGATCAGGTCCGTTGTCGATGAAGCCGGCTTGATAACTTCCCACGAACTCGGTCATTTTGGGTGATAGACGACGGAAGATGATCTGGGATAGCACTTTGTAGGCGGCATTCAAAATGGTGATCGCTCTGAAGTTCTCACATTCCAAATGGTCGCCTTTCTTGTGAATGGGGCAAATTACCTCCTCCTTCCACTCCTCCGGTAGCTGTTCTGTTTCCCAGATCCTGACTATCATCCGGTGCAGGCAGGTGGCCCATCTGGGCCCATCTTGATGAGTTCGGCGGTGATACCATCCTTACCAGCTACTTTGTTGTTTTTGAGCTGCTGAATAGCATCCTTAACGTTTTTTTCTGCCGGAAAGATGCGGGTCTGCTGTTTCCGCTTCTGTTTATACCGTTCCACGTTCTGTCGGGCTGCAGCATTACCGCCCGCGCTGCATTCTTCTCCTCCAAAATCGCTCTGCACTCCTCGTCGAACCATTCATTCCGTCGACTTCTTTCCACGTACCCGATGGTGCTCTCGGCTGCGTCGGTGATGGCTGTTTTTACTGTACTCCAGCAGTCCTCTAGAGGGGGCGCATTGAGCTCACCCTCCTCTGGCAACGTTGCCTCGAGATTCTGCGCGTATGCTAAGGCGACATCCGGTTTCTTCTGTCGCTCTAAGTTGAACCGTGGCGGGCGTCGGTACCGTACATTGCCACGATAGGTCCTGAAGTCGATAATGTCGGAGAAGTTCCGTCCATCAATCAGAACGTGGTCGATTTCGTCTGCTGTGGTGATCTCCAGGTGTAACGATAAGGGAGGCTGTGTTGGAAAAAGATGCTACGTATGGCCATGTTCTTGAAGGCGGCGAAATCGATGAGTCGTAGGCCGTTCCCGTTCGTCAGCTGGTGAGCGCTGAACTTTCCAATCGTCGGTCTGAATTCCTCCTCCTGGCCTACCTGAGCGTTTAGGTCTGTGCGTCCTTGTCATCATCAGTGCTTCCGGAGTGAGGGCTGTGCACGTTGATTATGCTAAAGTTGAAGAATCGGCCCTTGATCCTCAACCTGCACATTCTTTCGTCGATCGGCCACCAACCGATCACGCGCTTCTGCATTTCGCCTATCACGATGAAAGCTGTGCCCAGCTCGCGTGTGTTGCCGCAACTCTGGTAGATGGTATGATTACCTCTAAACGTTCGCACCATGCATCCTGTCCAACACACCTCCTGCAGCGCTACGATACCGAATCCGCGGTTCTTTAGTAGATTGGCGAGTATTCGGGTGCTCCCGATGAAATTGAGAGATCGACAGTTCCACGTGCCCAGTTTCCGATCGCAAGTCCTATTTCGTCGCTGGGGTCGTTGCCGTTGGTCTCGGTTCGTATTCCTCTGTTGCTGATTTTTCGTTGCAATGCTTTTTTACGGCTGGCTCGCAGGGCCTGACACCAATCCCCTAACTTTCCGGAAGACCAGGGTGCACCAGTTGTGCTTGGAGTCCTTCACTGGCACTCTGACGTAAATCAGCCGCCCCTAACATGGGGAACAGACGCTGTTGTGAGCCGCTCCTCCTGGAGAACAGACACTCAGGCTTGCCGAAGCAAACCCCCCCCCCTCCCTGTCAGCCCATGAACAAAGTTCCCACCGGGGTTGGTTACCCGATCTTCCCTAAGGTTGCTCACAGTTCCCGGCCGGTACCACGGGGATGTAGGGATAGAAGTTGCTGGGAAGAGGCTAGTGATCTCGATAAGATCTGTATTGCGCATTACCCAGCATTTACCGACCGGAACCAATTCAATATATCGTAGATCATCAATTTTTTTTTATCTTTATTAAAAAGACTTTCAGCCCTGGGCTGGTTCGTCTCCTAGACCAACAATTGAAAAGGTCCTATCAACTTTTATAAACCAAACGTTGATTTTTCTTTCAACAATCGAACGCAAATTACGGGCATCATCGGATAGGGGAATCTTTCCCCAACCCAAAGATGGTGTAAGTTTGCGTAGGCGAGCCTTGAAACAAGAGAAAAAGAGTTTCCGAAGTTTTTTTCGCAATAGCTGATGTGCTCTTTTCTGTTGATGGTCGTTATTTGTTCGATTGGTTCCGCTATTTGACAGCTCAACTGGTTCCCGAGAAATCTATCCGCCAGACTATGAATATAGCGACTATAAATGCAAACAGGGCGTCAGCATGTACCAGCATAAGATTTCACGAGCAACTGTAATTCGTGCTAGTTGGTTGAGGGGATTCACTTAGTGAACCAGCATATATGTAAACACCCCATAAACTGAATGCGAAAATGGCTGTGATATATGCTTCTGTTATTGCCAAACGTCATCTCTACATTTGTTTCACGATTTTATTTTCCATTACTTACGATTAGAGCAACATGTTTCGGTCTGAAATTCTAGGTAAAACGATACACATTATATATGATGAAACATCCTCTCCATACCGTGTTCTCCAGTCATGCGTTGGCATTGGATGACATTGAATGGAAATGTGAAAAACAAAACTAATTCGCTAGATGACTACTTCGGTGCTAGACTGACCCATTCAAACTGGTGAATATGCCGAACGCAAATCTCCGGTGACTACAAATTTGCGGTTTAATAAATTTGTTAAAATCTATCTAAAATCAGACAGTTCCCAAAACGACAACGGTTTTCGAACTTTGAGAGCTATTGTGGATACCATTTAATGTGTTTTTGTATAAGTACCGTCTTTCTACTGGTGTAGGTTTTCTATGCTTTGACCGTATGTATTTGATTTGATTTTGGTTGCTGTTGTAAGAACATCACACAACATCGATAAATAGTTTTGAATGGAACACTTAAGATTAAGTTTTCGATTCTGTCTTGCACAATATTTTGAAAGCTGACATTTTTTATTTGTTTCGTATGCAACGGTGTAAGCAATAGAGGTACAACTGAAAAACTTTTGGTATCGAACGCTTACAATTCAGACACGAATGACAAAACAAAGGGAAACCAAATTTCAAAAGACATACTTTCTATATTTCACGAGTCACGATGAAACTGACTGATCATATTTGCCTTAAACTATCATTCGAACGATGAAAAAAAAAATGAACTAAGTAGTGCCATGCAGAAAATAAATATTGAAAAAGTTAAACGTCTGCTAACACGACGAATAAGGTGGCAGCAAAAGTTGCCCTCTTGTTTGAATTAGTCAATGTTCAATGATGACAGCCGTTTCTCAACACTGCAATGGATGGCAGGATTGAAGAATTCGCTGTTGTAGCTTTTAGGGCAAATTTCACAGTACTTACGTGATTTCGATATCCTGGAACAGTTCGCCGATCCAGGCCACCGAGATACAGTAGTGCTGGAAAAGTTGCATCAACAGTTCAGCCTCGTCTAGCATTTCGATACGTTCGATGCGGGCCCGATCGGCCGCCGGTATGCTGTGGTAGATTTGCACCATATCCCACGCCCGCGCACCGTGCCAGTTGCAGTTCAAAAACCTAAATTGAACCATTGAAACCATTAGTCATGTTGTCTGCATTGATGCGCTACCGAAATCACCTTGAAATCTGTGTTTCCAACGACACGCAAGCCTCTACGCCGGCCAGACTGCAGCCTCGCTGTCTCAGATTGTTCAGCATCACCTCCCCGAAACGGTCGTTCATGTTGACCTGTTCGTAATTCACAAACACGGCCGATTTGAAGTTAGATGCGAACCACTTCAGTAGATTGCTGCTGTTCTGCAGCTCGATGTACACCAACACACACTCGGCCAAGAAGATTGTCGGAATACTGAAGTCAACCTCGGATTGTTGCAGTTTGATGGCCACCTCGTCGATGTTACGCAAATCTACTCCGGCTATGTGATAATTGGTGGAGTGCAAATCGGTTGGGCTCAAGCGGACTTCTCCGTCTGGAAATATTGATTGAAATCAGTCGTGGTAAATGCATGCAAGACGGATTAACAAACCTTCGGCGTGAATTTTCTCCAGCAGGATTTTATTTCGCTTAATCATGTAGCATTTCTTCGCGGTCACCGTGGGGAAGTCCAGCTCGACGAAATTGGAAATCATGTGACCGGATTCTCGCAGTCTCCAGTAAAGAGTGTCGAATCCACAGCCTAAATTTATGATTTGGCACTTGTCACCTGTTTTCTGTGAAGTGAATGCAGCTGTTTATTATTTTGACCGGAACTAACATTTTGAATACCTAAATAAGTTTTATTTTTTAAATTATTTTCTGAGCTAAAAGATTCAATATGTACATTGATTCTAATTATGGCTGGCCATAATAAAAAAAAACGAACAAATAAGGAAGAAGGTGCGTGCCAGACTATTTATGATTCAAGTGATTTATATCCTGACAGTTTCCACCCGTTCGGCATCTACCTCCGCAGCATTTTCCACTTCCACCCACCAACCATTGGGGAGGCATCACAACGCAAAAGCCTGTTTCTTACCTTGAAAAATTTCTCGATGCACATCTCGATACCCTTGACCCGCGCATAGTAGCCTCGGTTTATTTCCGGTGCCTTGCGGTCCGGGCTACGAACAAAATAGCTCAGGAATTCGTCCTTCCAGTAGCCGAGCTTGACGGCCGATCGTTTGCAGTTGCTGGCATCGTCATTCGTAGAGATGACGGCTTCGTCGCACGGATGAAATGCCGGTGGTTCCATCGTGTTCCACCTACTATTCCTGCAAGCACCTGGCCAGCAACGCGGTCTTCCACGGTTTGGAATCGGAAATTTCACTCAACTCCTCCTGCTACACCAACACTGAATTTTCACACCGATTTTTCACTTTGCGACCTTCGTTTTGATAAGCTTTTTTGTTTTGATTTTGACAAATCGTTCAGTAACGCACCACCCGATGAGTAACGTTGCACGCGTGAATAAAAATGGACGAGTGCACCGATGAATTTGAGTTCATGTACTCACGGAAATGTGACAGAAGAGCGGGGCAATGTTTACTAAAAATGAACACAAATGTTCATTATTAATGAACATTGCCCCGCTCTCCTGTCAAGTATCCATCAGGGCATGAATTCAAATCCATCGGTGCAGTAAAGCTCAGCACGACTGCACCTTAAAGCCCTAAGCCCCAGTAAAAGTATGGACGTCTGTCAAAAGTTGTTCCAATTCTCGATGAACATTTCAAATGGTCCTATCTGCTTTGATCGATTCTCTTCATCGACTTTCTCTTTTCATAACCACTGCTATGCAAACAGATTTCGCGCTAATTCTACCACATAGTTTGATAAATGAGGTTCTCATATAACGTCCAAAACGTCAAATACAACAGGGAAAGGTTTTGCAGCTGAGTTATTGACGAAAGAGAAAGTCGATGAAGAGAATCGATCAATGCAGATAGGACCTTTTGAAATGTTTATCTAGAATTAGGTTTTGCACCGTCGGGGTTAACCTCAATCTGATGACAGTTCAGTGGTACTGTTTACGTGGACTTAGTCGATTTTTTCTTGGGTGGATTTTCTCGATAATTTTTTAGACTGCAGTGAGATGTAAACAGCATTTCTGCAATGTTCACGAGCAACATCCTTGCAACGCGCTGTTCCTCGACAATTTTCAAGTTAAAATTCAGAAACTTTAGAAAATTTTTTTCGAAAAAACGACTAAGTGCTTGTAAACAGTACCACTGAACTGTCAAAAAGGTTCAGCCGTTTAACACTGAGTTCATTTGTGACGTCACGCTGCAGAACCTAATCGAACCGTCAAAATGCACCGCTTTGCACCAAGGTAACTACATATAGGTGTTCTAATGTGTCAAATTAATGATTCAGCCATGTTGGATTTTTGTATGGGACTGCGACCGAGTTTGTTTACAATTTGCTCTAAAACCGCTTTTTCACCTCCCCCCCGCGAACTCCTTGCCTATATAGTGACAAAGCTGTATCACCATTTATATACCCACCAAGATTGGAACAGCGTTTTTCAGTTTTGTGGTGACAGTCGTCCATACTTTTACTGTAGGGCTTTAAGGTGCAGTCGTGCTGAGCTAAGAGGAAGAGGTGACAATTGGCTTCTTCTTCTTTTATTTCTATCTCTATCTCTATCTTTATCTATCTCTATCTCTATCTTACGCACATGAAATCGACCAATCAGGAGCTGGTTCACGTTTGACAGAAAAGTGGTTCATTTTCGCCCCCGTATTAGGTTTTGCACCGACGGGGTTAACCTCAATCTGATGACAGTTCAGTGGTACTGTTTACGTGGACTTAGTCGTTTTTTTCGTGGGTAGATTTTCTCGATAATTTTTCAGACTGCAGTGAGATGTAAACCACACTTCTGCATTGTCCACGAGCAACATCCTTTCACCGCGCTGCCCGCATAAACGCGAACCATCACATGACCTTACCGATAATGGTTATAAATTGTTTATAATCCCTGCTAAACTTCAACTGAAATGGTTATGGAACTTTACATGAACGTTTAATGATAAAGTTTTAACCTTAAGTATTATAGTTTTTTGGAAGTGGACCTTACAAATAATGGGTTGTTAAGAACCATTACCATTCAAAATTCTTGTTTTCTCCATACATTTTCGGAAAGAGAACTATATTAGAACGTTTTTACTTATGGTTTGAGAACATTAATGGTTATGGTTATGGTAGTCAGTAAGGTCCATCAATGGTTTTGTATTATCGCTCAACTTTACGTGAAATATATCGTGAATTGGTAATCAGTAATTTACAGGCAACCAATTCGCGATATATTCCACATAAAGTTGATCGATGTTACAAAACCATTCATGGACCTTACTGGTTACCATAACCATTACCATTAATGTTCTCAAACCATAAGTTAAAAGGTTTTAGTATAGTTTTCTTTCCGAAAATGTATGGAGAAAACAAGAATTTTGAATGGTAATGGTTCTTAACAACCCATTATTTGTAAGGTCCACTTCCAAAAAACTATAATACTTAAGGTTAAAACTTTATCATTAAACGTTCATGTAAAGTTCCATAACCATTTCAGTTGAAGTTTAGCAGGGATTATAAACAATTTATAACCATTATCGGTAAGGTCAATTTATGGTTCGCGCTTATGCGGGTGTTCCTCGACAATTTTCAAGTTAAAATTCAGAAATTTTAGAATTTGTTTTTTCGAAAAAACGACTAAGTGCTTGTAAACAGTACCACTGAACTGTCAAAAAGGTTCAGCCTATTAACACTGAGTTCATTTGTGACGTCACGCTGCAGAACCTAACTGTCACCTCTTCTCTTAGGTGCTGAGCAAAAGTTCATTATTTGGCAAATATTAGGTTCTGCAGCGTGACGTCACAAATGAACTCAGTGTTAATCGGCTGAACCTTTTTGACAGTTCAGTGGTACTGTTTACAAGCACTTAGTCGTTTTTTCGAAAAAAAAATTCTAATATTTCCGAATTTTAACTTGAAAATTGTCGAGGAACAGCGCGATGAAAGGATGTTGCTCGTGGACATTGCAGAAGTGTGGTTTGCATCTCACTGCAGTCTGAAAAATTATCGAGAAAATCCACCCAAGAAAAAAACGACTAAGTCCACGTAAACAGTACCACTGAACTGTCATCAGATTGAGGTTAACCCCGACGGTGCAAAACCTAATTAGGTTCTGCAGCGTGACGTCACGAATGAACTCAGTGTTAATCGGCTGAACCTTTTTGACAGTTCAGTGGTACTGTTTACAAGCACTTAGTCGTTTTTTCGAAAAAAACAAATTCTAAAATTTCAGAATTTTAACTTGAAAATTGTCGAGGAACAGCGCGGTGAAAGGATGTTGCTCGTGGACAATGCAGAAGTGTGGTTTACATCTCACTGCAGTCTGAAAAATTATCGAGAAAATCTACCCAAGAAAAAAACGACTAAGTCCACGTAAACAGTACCACTGAACTGTCATTAGATTGAGGTTAACCCCGACGGTGCAAAACCTAATTAGGTTCTGCAGCGTGACGTCACGAATGAACTCAGTGTTAGCCGGCTGAACCTTTTTGACAGTTCAGTGGTACTGTTTACAAGCACTTAGTCGTTTTTTCGAAAAAAAATATTCTTAAATTTCCGAATTTCAACTTGAAAATTGTCGAGGAACAGCGCGTAGAAAGGATGTTGCTCATGGACATTGCAGAAGTGTGGTTTACATCTCACTGCAGTCCGAAAAATTATCGAGAAAATCCACCCAAGAAAAAATCGACTAAGTCCACGTAAACAGTACCACTGAACTGTCATCAGATTGAGGTTAACCCCGACGGTGCAAAACCTAATACACAGTAATTGGTAAGTATCCATTAATGGGTGAAAAAGTACCCATTTAAGAGTAAATTACACTCTTACCCACACTAAGAAAATTTCAAAAGTTGTTTTTATGAGTACCACACATGAATTTTTGCAATGCGATCAATTAATTGGTTACCTGTAGGTATCATTTATTAATAAATGATACCTACAAGGTAACCAGCGTAAACACATTAATGACTATAAAAAATCAATTTTTTAAAGTTTATATACAGCTTAAAATGTGTAAATAAGGAGATCTTAAAATGTGTAAAAATAAACTTCAAACATCGTTTCAAATCTAATAAACAACCAGGTGTGTTTTTTCCATGGTTTGTTTTCCGTCGATCTTGTTTTCCATGCTGAGCACCAATGCTACCGACGCCAGGGAGGTAGCTCCCACACCTTTACCCTACATATCTTCCCATCAAACTCATGAAACGGCTTTACTTCCCTTCCGAAGGAAGGCGTGATCAGAGATGTTATGCCTCAGAAAATACTGGCGGTGCCGACTAGGATTGAACCCAGGCCTGCTGGAGTGAGAGGTAATCACGCTTACCACTACACCACCGGCGCTGCTATCCAGGTGTTTATTATACTTAAGTTTGATTTGCAAATGTGATTACTTACACAAATAATATGCAATTGACTCGTATAGGTATCTGCTCAGGTATATGACATTGCAGCACACACGGTTAGAAAAAAGTACCCAAAATTAAGTTCTTTTCACTCATCTCGGCACTATAGTGCAGGTACCCAAATGTAGGTAAAGCGGGTCAAAGTAATTTTCATTTACTTGTGTGCAGTTCGTATGGAATTTTCCACTGGCTTTTCAACCAAAAGCAAGTTAATTGTACCCAACAATAGGTGAATATGATTATACTCAACGTTGGGTTCCCACACTTTACTACCCCTGTTGGGTGGTTTTGCTCCTCCGTTTTTGACAACATTAGAAGGAGAAAAGGAGACAAACTAGTCAAAAGTAGGTAAAAGTGAACTGGCCGTTGGGTACTTTTTTCTTACCGTGCAGAACAGATACACTGAAACAAATTGACATGTACCGTTTACTGGATCCATCTTATAACATAGCAATGTCAGCAGATTTATTCATTCTATGTGATGATTGATAGATTCCATTGTATTATCACTTTAAAACTATGACTGCGATATGGAATGATTTCTATCGTAATTTCACATACTTTGTACTTGATAATACTTTGCTTCGAACGTGGTTAGCGATAGGTAAAAAGTATATGAATATTGTCTGATATATTTCATGGTGAAAAATTGATGATATGTCATGTTGATATATGTGGGAACAGACATCTAGAAAGTAATGGAAAATCATATAAGTTTGCATTATTAGAAAATTCAGTACAATATACCTGTTTTCATGATGAATATTGCTCACTAAAAGATATATCTTATAAGATAATCATGTATATTTTATTGAAGTTGCTTTTAACGATTTTTGACGTTTGTTGATATGTCGCGTGTAAACAGACATGTAGAAACTATTGGACTGTAATTTAACTTTGCAGTATAGGAAAACATGTATATC